GCTTCTCAATTTCACCACTGCACACTAGCTACTTATATTATCGTAGTAAGGCTAGAAACTTGCTTGGGAATGAGAAACAACTTACGTGATATGTCTATCCTCCCTCCCTCAGGGATGGCAATTCAGATGGTGTCCAACTTCTTATTCTAACGCTTGCTTCTAGCTTACCGTAACCGTAAAATGAAATGTATCAGTCGCACGGTTATCACAAACAACACACTTCTTTCTATGACATAACATCAGAATTTGTTTTACGAATAACAGTACGGCACAGGTGGTGGTGCAACCAGTTTTCCTTATCGCCTCTTATAGATGGCAAGACTCTCCATGTTCCTTGGCATCATTCTGTTTTATGACGGCGTGAAATGGACCGAATGACCAGTTGTTATTCATGGAACGAAGAGGCCGCTATGAAGATCTGTGACCTTAAAGAGAGCTAAAAGCTGTAAGGAACCGATTGTAATAGATGGGTCCTGCGACGATGGAGTAAATACCCATAAAATGTTTCGTGATTTCCAGGGACTATGCGTGTGTGTGGCTAAAACTGAGACGTTCGGATTGGCATTGTTCTGCTTCCTGTGATCGTACGGCCCGCTTCCATGTTATCCGAGGGTCACTAAAATCCGCCATCACGGGTGCTGACACAAACAGCTCCTGCTCCTAATTAGCTTTAAAGAAGTAGACCTAAAGCCATCCTTCCTGACTTATGATATTCCTACTGCTAATGAAATCTACAATTGTATTAGGTGGCTGAAGGTTGTTGATCAGATCCCCTAAAGTGCTCAGACAGTGTACATTACGTGGTCGTTGAGTGTGATTGGCAAATTGTTGTTGATGTTTCCGTCGGCTTCCGGGAAACTCCCACCTGATGCATGATTCCGTGCTGACACCTCGGATTTCAGTGTATATTTCCTCCGAAGCATCTCCTACTTATTTCTCCATTTCAATTTTACTAAATTTATCAAGAGCAAACTTTTAAATTAATTTTTTTTAATTTTAAATTGAAAAGTTTGCTCTTGACAAATTCAAAAATTTGACCCCCGATAATCCTTTTTACCTAACTTTCCGATTTGTTTTCTGTCCTCCAATTTCGGAATCGGTAAAAAAGGGTTCAGGTAATGATGTTATGCTTCACTACCACAGTTGAGTGTTTTTTGGTCGACTAAAATTCATCTCAAACAAAAATAAACCTCACCATATTGTGAAGATTTGAGCTCATGGAATTGTTTTTTGTTGGGTGGCCCTGTTCCCCTATAAAATATAAGGGAATCTCATGAAATTGACTTGCTCTAATCTCTTCCATCTTCAAAATGTGAGCAAATCCGAGAGAAAGCTGTTCGAGAAGCAATCGCTCTTATCGCCGCAGATGGTCCTCTCTTCGAAGGACTTTTCAAAAAAATATTTTCCAAAAAAAAACTTTTTAAAGAAGGTTGCAACGGAAATGGACCACTGATTGCTTGAATGATCGAATAAATTGAGCCAGCTGTTCCCAAGCACGTGGGACCACGTAAAAGCTGCGATTATCTTTGACCGAAAGGCACCATTTTGTTTGCTCATTCCCATTTCCCTGTGAACTTGCTTCACATTACGTTCCTATTAATATAATCTGCAAAATATTTCATTATAGATGACGTCACCACGAAATCTCAATGAGGAGCTCAACGAGCCATGCCAACAGCGATGAAATATATTCAAGGTAAAAAGTAGAATCAGACTTGGCAAATCCAAGCCTACATCGTACATCGGAATATTTAGTTGCTTTAGAGAGAACTTCAGTTTTTATTAATTTCTTATTTACCTGTTACAAAATAATGTAATGCTCGATAGGTTTCTATAGTAACAAGTCTAACAATAGCCATATTATAATACAATGCGGGAGTTTCGCAGCCACTAGGTAAAGGTACAGCTTTTCTGCCGTTGCGAACACTCCTAAATGCAGAGTTCCGTTGAGTAGCCAGTTTTAGACGAGTAAAGGAGGTGGTAGATCAGAATAGTGCAAAAGTGGTGAGGAATTCAGCGTATTTAGAGAACTTTATTGTTGACAGAAAGTGATAAAAATAGGGGTGGGACGAGAAAGTGACGACATAAGTTGCATGGAAGGGGTACTTGGACGAGTTGTCCGAAAGTGTGTAACACTGCGTACAGCTGGTTACAGCAAGCTGCCTGTGTGCAATGCGTGCTTCCCGGTGCAAATGGTGGAACTATACAGCTTCCATAACGCTGTTAGGACTTGTCGGTTTTTAGGCACGTCGGCCTAGACGGCTTGGGGCCTTTATTACGCCCTATTTAGGCAGTTTTTTGACCTGATAGCTTCCCTTGTGCTATCATTGAGGCCCAGATTTTGTGGGAGAAAATCCTGGAAAACATTTTTACCGTGAACTGTGCCTTTAGAGGACTTCATGTCGGTCTCTTTGCGAGAACGTGCCATCGGTGGCAACGGACATTTTCTTGTGCAGCTGAAACGGGCTTTTTTCAAATAACCAAGAACTTCGATCCTTGAAGGGAGCCGATGGTGAGGGTGCATTTTGAAAGGCGAGGAAGGTCAATTCCAAAAACACCTTCATTCGATCTGTTGTTTGGGCTTCAGGAAGCTATTCAGAGTTGAACAAATCGTTTCCGGTACGCGTCATACATCGGTAAGCAAAGCTGGATGAATAAACACTTCAGGGAAATAATAGCGGGGAGCAGTTACCAGTTTTGGGATATGTGGATTCTCCTTTCCAACTGATCCGTAACCATCCGAATTACCGCTGGTTTTGGGTTGATTCCAAAATGGATACCAAAGCAAAATACTGAGTACAGACACTAGAAAAGCTCCAGGTTTTCCTGAAGTTTCTGGTAATCCGAGTTTTCAAGGCCGATGATTCCAGAGCGGATATGAAAGTAAGGTAATGAGATACTGTACTAGAAAAACTCCAGGTTCTCCAGAATTTTCTGCTGGGGCGATGGAGTGGTTGGACGAGCTAATCAGTATCCATCCCATAGTTATCATAACGTTTCCGAAAACCGCCGATTTTTCACGCTAATGAGATACTGGGTGATTGATAACGGAAGTCCACTCTGACGGCCACTGTACAAACTGATACGACAAGCATTTCAATCGTCCGCTTGGCTGGCATTTGCGCATCGATGTTTGTTCTCCAGTTTCAAACAGCATTTGTTTCTGTTGATTCAGAGAAGTTCTTCCGTAAAGCGCTTCCTAAAATGTAGGGTTCAATAGTTTTTAGAAAAAATAAGGTGAAAAAATGTTTTTGTTTTGGTTTTTGGAGAGCGAAACGTCGAGTTGCTCTACAAATTATTCTTTTTTTGTAGGAGTTTTTTGGTAAGATTCTTGAACTGATTTCGTGATGATATCTGAAGAAATCTTACATTTCTTTCATTGTCGAAGACATTTTTGTTGTGGTCACAACAGAAACTATTTGAAGAGAGAAAATTTCGAACAATAATCGATGCCGAGATGAAGTACCCCCGCTCATTGAAGCTCCACCCAATTTGTAGAAGGATTCGAAAGCCTGATTATCCTTCATGCACTTATAAGAGCAACCTGAGAGAGCCAGTAGATCTCTTAGTTTCGTAAGCTAATCGGATTGTGATCCTTGGACGGTACATAGAAGGGATGCCAATGTGATATATAGGAAATCGGCAATTTCTCAAACTGACTGAGTTCATATCGGTCCAGTGTGAGGATGCTAGTTTCCATGAAGTCACCCATTCACCGATTTGTTTACTTGCTTACTCAATTGTTTGTTGGTCTCTTTATTTGCGCACCCTTAGATGTGCTGATGAGTATAAGGATTTTTCAGAGACATGTAAGCACACTTTTTTCTTACTAAGAGTTTCTTACAAAGCATCCAAACGCTTCTGCAAATTTGTATTGAGAACGAATGCATGGCTCATTGGCGCATTACCAAACTGTTTACAGCTTTATCTTGGGCCGTAATGGAAAATATTGCCGTCACAAAATTCAGGGAATACCTACGAGTAAACACTGAACAGCCCAATCCTGACTATGGTAAATTTACAGACTATTTGAAGGTGTTTATCCTATCTGAGCTATTTACTTGTCTTGAAACATTATGTGGCTCTAAGCAAATTCTTCCAGCTGCATGTCAGAACTTCCTCTTCAACCTGGCTGATGAACTTGGTATTCAACGGCGAGCCGTTGAGGTGGGTGGTTTTTTTCGACCGAACGTTTCGGACAGTCGAAATGGATAGCCATTGTCCTGCATACCGTGCATGAATCTTTTTGAACCAGTCAATGTTTTGGTTATGTTCATCGACGCTTTCAGACTGTGCCAGGCAAACCATTCATCATTATGACGATTCCTGGTACTCAACCTCAGCTCAAATCCCTGATGCTCTACTCTCACACCGATGTCGTTCCGACGTTCAAGGTTGGATGTCTCCCATTTTTTTTNTTTTTTTTAATGAGAGACATTGGGTCTGTCGCCATCAAGAAGCACAGTGCCAAAAATGTTCATCGCGCTCAAACTATAGCTACATGCGTACCAACTTTTCCTAAGAGCGAAGGCTTTCATCAGCTATCCTTGGGCGGAATGGTTGGGTAGCAAAAAGTAAGAGATTTGAGCACTGGAAGAAATCAGGGATTTGCGACATACACACAAGAAAATGCTTTCATGACGTACACAACACAATGCTTTCTTGACTTCGAATTGAAATCGTATTCGTGGCGCACTCGGAGGGATCATGCAGATCCCAGGACCACTTGGGGACCAGCACGACAGATAACCGATAATTCTCTTCAGGATCAATGGAAATACGATCCCTACTCAGCATATAAGGACGAGAACGGTGACATCTATGGCCGAGGGACTCAGGACATGAAGTGTGTTGGATCGCAATACTTTGAAGCAATCCGTCTACATTTCCAACGAGGCCGAAAAAGATGGCTACGGACAATCCACATCGTCTGGGGGCCAGGTACGTCATTTCTGCAAAAGATTTATTTCAACCTGTGAACCACCAATGGTGAAAGCAAAAGAGGAAGCTGGTAAAAGCCTTAGCATTCTGAACAGCTCTTTGGATTTTTTTTCCAAATAATGCAGTAAGGTTAACCATGGCATTTGGGAGATACGGAATTTGTGTATGTTGGTACCAAAAGATGTAAGGAATGTGCTTTGAAGGTTATCAGAGGGACGGAGAGGGGGAGGGGGGGAAGGGGCGAAGACTTAGGAAAGGTCGAGCCAAAGTAAGCATTCTACCCTACAACAAAAGCTTTTTTGAAGTTTCAGCATAGCCATGATGCATGACGCATATGAAATACCTTAACGACTTAGAATAACAACAAATGCCTGGCGCATCCCAAAAAGCAAAGCCAGCGCCAGAAGCTCGATAACACTCCACTGTATGACTCGTCTGTGCTACCACAAACACCATCTACCTTACTCGGTAAATCTCTCACTGTTGATTCACTTGACCTGAAACATTTCCAGACGAAGAAATAGCTGGTCCTGATGGAATGGCCACTTTTTGTCAAATGGACGAGTTCCGTGAGCTGAACGTTGGTTTCGTTCTCGATGAAGGAATCGCCAGTGAAAATGACACGTACAAAGTCTTCTACGGAGAGCGCTGCACCTGGTGTAAGCCTTATATGTCACAACGATCGTTTTTTTGCTATCCCGGTCCATAACTATTCTAGTCGTTTTCATTGAGCAAAGGGGCTTCAGGGCTAAAAGTTACTTGCCATGGATCACCTGGTCACGGATCGAAGTTCATTGAGAATACAGCTGGTGAAAAACTGGTAAGCAGCCACCTCCCCAACCATTTTGGGATCGGATAGAGTTAGCGGGCAACGTATACTGTAGATAGAAGCATTACCTTCTTTCAGAATTATGTGATGAACAAAGCGCTAGCGTTTCGTGAAGAACAACGAGCTCACTTGAAGAATAGCAGTACTTTAACGCTCGGAGATGTTACAACGCTGAATTTGACAATCTTGGAAGGTGGAGTGCAGACGAATGTCCTGCCAGAGAAGTTTGAAGCCTGTAAGTATCTTAACCGAGTACTAACAAAGAGAACACATCAATAATGTCAGCATGGAACGTGCTTATGGTTCGATCATACTCCGGCATGGCGCTTTGATCGATAACTGCATTGAATTAAACTAACTCAGGCTTACTTCCGCGAAATATAGCTAGTTATCGATTTGTATCGCTCGTTGTCGCTCTGAGTGTAAACAGTCGTGGCATCCACCGTTGTAATGTAAGCTTATTACCCGATCGTACTTCAAGATTTCGACATTCGAATCACACCCACCGTTGATTTCGACGAATTCGAAAAGATGATTGCTGGATGGTGTAGCGGCGCTGGAGAAGGTGTCACCTACGAATTTCTTCAGGTTTGTCATCAAAAGGGTGCTGAGATTAAACGTATTCCAAAGCGGTGAGTATGTCGGAGGAGTACAGTAGGTATGGAGGCGCTAGTAGGCATGCCCTGATCTACCTATTGCAACAGGATTACTCGTGAGCTACGGTATTTCGACGCATCAAAAATTCAGGGCACGTCCAAGGTCTTACCGTCCAAGGTCCCATTATTACTTCATAACTCTATTACTCGTACAATTTCGCAAAGTAATAAGTGAAGAGTGGGTTGCGAGTAGTATGAAGCAGCATAAGAGTTACGGTAAGAACTTGGATCTTAACGTCAGTTTGGACCTTTCTTCATAAGTGGGCATTCACCCGGTCAGGAGTGTCTCAGGTTTCTGGAGCTCTTCCCTCTTATTTGTAATTCGTCTAGTGTACACAGAGCCTTTAGGTCCGAAGACCGGAATCTTTCAAAGGCTAGTTTAGAGCTCTTTTTTCAGAAAGACACCAATAGAAATGTGACGCCAACCACAACCGATGATTTATGGTGGAATGCCTTTGAAAAGTCGCTGAAGGACGAGTAAGTCCGAAATTTCCTATCATGAGCATCAGGTCTATTCCCACGAAGGAGTATTGGCTCTAGGAAGCTGTCCTACTCCAATTTCAGGAAATGTAAATTCACCAAGGAAATTTTCACTGCCGCCACGGATTCGAGATTTATTCGAGCGGTAAGCACAAGCATCTGTCCTCAACTGAACAATACGATATTGATTTTTCCAGCTTGGTTATCGATCCATCGGTTTTTCTCCAATCATTAATACACCTCAACTGCTTCATGATCATAACGAGTATCTTAACGAACGTGTCTTTCTTCGTGGGGTCGAAATATACGAAACACTGATTGAAAATTTAGCCAATGTACAAGAATTTGATGATTGATTATGACCAACTGTGATGTTTGCTGTCAAAATGGTGATATGGCATAAATTTCACTTATTACTTATTTGTTTGTTTATTTTTGAATACTTACACAGGCTCAACTTAGGCTATCGCCACGACTATGCTCACCCTAAGTCAGCGACAACAAGCGATACGAAGCGACAGTGTTCGGCATAAACCGAGTATCAGGAAGCAATCTTATGCTTTCATGATGGAAAAATTTCAAACGACTCAACACTTCCAGCAGAATGCTAAAAAACAATTCAACAATTTTAGAGAATAATCGAGAATCCTGAGGAAGTATGGGCAGAACGGAGGACGTCCGTTGCGCGCATCCGTCGAAAGTAGGTCACCCCGCCCACTTCGCGCGCGGCGCATCCCACTGAGGTCTCACGATGACATTACAGTACCACCAAGTGTCAGTGGAGCGAATTTGCAATCGCCAGTGTTATCTTCTCTTTGGCTGACTGCCGTTGACCACGCGCAAATCGTATGCCCCACTGACAACTGCAACGTCTGTCATGTGTCGCCGGCGGACCCGCCGCATGCGACGGCTGCGGCGTAACCTAGTTTCGAAGGACGCGCGCAACGAAGCACACCCGGTACTTTTCAGAATTTCTCATCAAAAATGATTGGAAGACTTTATTTCGGTATATTCTGATCAAAAGGAAGACAAAGACACAATTCATATACGCGTAAAAACTTCTCAACAACATTAGAATCCAGGTTTACCTAACCCTATGCTTGTTTTAAAGTAATCATGTAATAGTAAATTATTGTGATACTGAGAATGAAATATCAAATTTCAAATCCATTCCTTTATTAAAAAAAAATAAGTGGACTAGATTGGAATCAAAATGAGATCAAGAGCAAGCTTTGCCATTTTGAGGCTGTTACATAGCTGTTCATTTCTTTCTATTTCTTTGGAGATCCATTCCGGTCGGAAGAGAAGATTTT